CAGTGGGGAGCAAAATGAGTTCTTGTGCATCTTCCCGAGGGAAATGAAATCTGTTATCAACTATAATCCTGACTTCATTGGCTTATCTCATTCACTGTGGTTTAAAATCATACCAGTAACACTGGCACAGAGTTACTGAGGCATAGAGTAGTTGCTGCAAAATATACAGAGTCCAAGCAGATATGGTGCATGTTCATGTCATCTCTTAGTTTCCCATTATGAGACACTATTGTTGTTTGTGAATTCGATCTTTCATCATTTGCTTCTTGTCTCTTTGTACATTGTGTGTGTTTTTGAGAGGAAGCTGTTATTTTGATTTGTTCCCAGGTGGTGAGTGCCCTTCCTTTTGATGTCTAATAATATCTTTCTCTCATTACTGTAAAAATAAACTAAAAAAAAAAAATTTTTTTCATCCTCTGCTGTTATGAAGTCAAATGAGTTGTTTGTAGCCTGAGTTTATTTTATAGTCTATTAAAGTCACTTAGTGATGTTTTATAAGTAGTAAGTTCTAAGTCAGTGGCCACAAACTTGTTAAAGCTCCTGTCCTTATACTTATATACTATTTGCCTTTTACTGGCAGTAGTGACTTACACACTGGATAGACTGTTTCTTGCTGGCGTTTATCTACTCTTATTTTTTCCATATATTCCTTACATTCAGATTATGAATCCAGTACACAGATACAGCTGAGTACTTGGTCTGCTGAAAGGGTTTGATGCTTCTGCCGTGTGATGCAGAAAGATACAAAGTGAAAAGGAAAACACATCTATGTGGGACTTGATATATAAAGGAGATACCTGTGATTAAACTCGCTCCCACTGGATGTCACTATTGTTCCACAGAAATTCATCCAGGAGAATATCTAGCCTTGAGTGGCTGACAGCAGAGACTGGTTGCAGCAAACTGAAAATTTCTAATTGTGTTTGCAGGAATATTGTACTTTCATGTTCATTTTGCAGTTGAATTTTATATCAAGTTTACCATTTCATAATAGTAAAAAACCAGAGAGCATTGCCAAAGCTTCAGCTGTGATGGCTGTGTAAGTGCAGATAGTGAGTCATGAAAACCAACCAGCAGAGGAGCTTGCAGTCATTATACTCAAGCCACTTGTTCTCATTGCTATTCTCTTACTCTGCAGTTGCTGGAGGTAATCTCAACACAGTGAATGAACATTACCAGTCTCCTCGAATTTGCTTAGAACATCAGTTATTTTTTATTTCCAAAGATGTGCATTCTGTGTGGTTTATTATTCTGAAATAGCACTTCCAAGAGCTAAGTCGTTGAGAGGCTGAGTAATCCACTGGCTAGGATTATGTCTTGGTGTGAAGAGACCCCCAGTACTCAACTGGTATGTGATCAAGCAAATTACCTCAAATCTGTCTATTTGCCATGTTCTGTCTGTCTTCTCCACATCCCTCATAAACAATTTAATGTTAAGAGATTGTTGGAAGGTGTTTCTACAGTGTCTAACAGAGATAGTCCAGACTTGCCTTAAAATTTTTTGGGGTGCTGCAATAAAATGAAACAGGCTGGTGAATCCACCAACATTTGTCTCAACATTGTTTAAATAAATGTAGGCAATGCAAATGACAGTGGGCATGGAAGAGTGCTGCACTTTGTCTGTGGTTCGTAAAGCTCTGGTCTTCCAGTGGTAGCCCCAGAACACCATATGTGACTCAGGAAAAGGAATAGCAGATGATTAAAAATCCTAAAAAACACCCACAAAACAAACTCCAAACACCTTGAAACTCCATTTTTGCTCTCCTAAACTTGAAATATGTGGGCAGTGTCAGCTCCGTTAAAGGAGAGCTAGGTCACTAGAGGCACTCAATCACATCTCCTTCCTCAACCTAGTGCCTAAAATGCTTGTTTGAAAGCTTACAGATTTGTAGGAGGCACCACAGTTCCTGCATATCCTCTGAGGATTCCTTGGCATCACCTCAGCAAGGTTTTCACAGTTTTGTCAGAGCCTGGCACCAAAATATCCAAAACCCTACACAAAGCGGGGTGAGAATTTTAGATACTGTGGAGAAGCAAAGGAGAAATTTCTTCTCTGGAACCTCTGAGGCTTCAACACTTCATTGATATTCAGGAGAGGGGCAGCCTTTCACAGGGACTACAAGTTGCTCAGCTAAGACCAAATCATTGCAACAAGATTATTAGAACTTGTGGCTCTGGTGGCCTTGCCACCCAAAACAAGTCACTTCCAGAGCGTTTCATTTGACAGTGGTGAGGATGAGTTGAGCTTAGTTCATGTAGTCTTTGCCCAGGTGAAAGCATGGATTTTGTAATGTGTTTTAATGTGCGGTGCTGTGAGTTTAAAATGTTTTCTAAGCCACATGCAGTGGAAGGGGATTTAACACCTTGGCTCACAGGCCTCAGTCTGTGCAAGAAGGTACGGAGTTACACTGGGCATTTTTTTTGTGTAATCAAACAGTGTTTTCATTATCAATGGTGATAGCAGCAAGCACGCCCGTAATTAAATATTTTTTAAGATGATAATTTTACAGGCATTGCTTTCTGAAGAAATTATGGATGTATTCTTTCTGAGTATTGTTATGGTTAGAACAAGGCATTGAAGAAAGATAAAAGGAAGTATATAAAGTTCAGCTCAGTTTTAGACAACTCATTCAAAATCACAGTCCATTAAGAAGTTTTAGAAGATGCATTAAATAATTTTGAATAGCAAAAATTCTAAAGCAATAGTATGAAATTATTTTCTGATTGCAGTCAGCATTCCTAAAAATACATATAATTATTTTATTTTTGTATGGATTTTTATAGGTATACATGTACACACACACGTGTGTGTGTATGTATATATGAACATATGTATGTTTTGTACCAAATCTTTCTTTCTTTCTTTGGCTGTGCCTAATATCAGTCAGCACTGTGGAGGTTAAAGCCTAAGGAAGTACAGGGATAGTTCTTAACATGAAGTTTACAGCAAACTCTAATCCTTCAGTGCAGAGGTAACCAAGGCCTCCTGGTAGAAAACCGAATCCCATAATAGCTAAGATAATTAAATGTGTATTGACTTTTTAATAGGAACTTTCAAGGTACAATTCAGGTACAACTGTGCTGTGCTGCTGAAGCCTCTCGAGCACTTGCATTATTAATGGTGTGGGATCCTTCCTCTGCTCAGGGAAATGGGCTCTCTGTTGCAGGATTTAATCTAGTCTCAAACTTCTACCCTTGGCTATTTCCTCACTACAGTCCTTGGAAATGAGAATGGTTTCATTACATGAAAAAGGCCAACCCAAACCCCTTTGAGTGTATTAGTTGTTTTTAAGAGGTGCTTTCTAGCTTTGTTTTCATTGTATCTAGCAGATTTTAAGGTAATTGGCTGTGATAGGGTTTTTTCCAGTAACAGTTCAGGAGCACTTCTGCTAAGGTTTTGCTTTTTCTAATCTGCTGCAGTGAAGCTGCTTTGTTGAAACATTCCCTCCCATTGAGGATGTGCAGCTTACTAAGCCAAATCAAGTTACAAAATAGAGATAATTAAATTACTGACTTGCTTCTGTAAAGGTGCTGCTGTATTATTTCATAGCTTCCCTTCCTGATAATCAAAATGGGAAGTATGATTTATTTGCAAATATGGGGGATATTGTATTCTTCTGCAACCAACAAAATACATGACTCCGGGAGAAGGGAGGCAGGGAATAGCTGGGTTACAAATTTGTATTTTGCCCAGAACTACTGATGAATGACTAGACATTAAAACTGAGTATCTGTGAATTCCTGTAATGTCATTATGGTTTTGCTAAGAGAGAAAAATGATTTGTCACTGATTTATGCAAGGATTTTTGGATGCACTCTTCTCAGATCAGTGGGTAACCAGTTTTCTCTGAAAGCTCTTTGCAGCTACAGTATGTCTAAAATGTACAGTGTATGGCTTTTTAAGTAATGAAGCTTTATTTACTTATTAGAGGGCCAGTGTGCAAAACACATCATACAACCTTAACAAGCCTAGCCCAGCAAGTAAACAGAAATAGAAGAAAATGATGGATTTTAATGATTTCCTCAGCTACATTAATGCCTTTGACAGTCTTGAAAAGAGAATTTCTAATGAGCACTGAAACAAATGTGTGCAGGAAGTGGTCTTGCTTCTGCTGCCACACATTTTAGTTCCTCTAATTGCATCAATAAGGAATTTCTGCTCCTCATCTAATGAATGCCTTTTGACTACTTTCTGAAAGGCGACTGGATGTAGGGATAAACACTGGCACCTTTTGTATGAAGTCACATAAATAGGTTTCAATTACTAGTTATCAGCCCTATAGAAACACTGTATTATAATGCAGTACAGTAAATCCCATTTTAGCTCTTTATTTTTAAACTTTTATTAAGCCTCGGTTTTCCTCTGCTTTGGTTTTTAGTGATACCTGATGTCCTAAGACTGCTTTAACTCCTCAATGGCTTTATAGTCTCTCTTATGTTGGGCAGCACTGAGACATTCTTTCAGAGCTATTCCTGAACCATCTCTCTCCTCAGACACCTCAGAATTCACATGATGCTACATTACCTGGGTCTTTAGTTTGTTCTGAGTTAAAAAGTGGCTTTTAGAGCAAGGAGTGGGGGTGGGGGAGGGGGGTTGGGGAGGCAAAGGGGGGACACACACACTGAGTTTGATTTTTTTTTCATTGTTGTCATTTTTCTCCCTAAACAGAGGCACAGTTGTTGCAGGTGCAGTGGATTACTTATGAAAGAAGTTTTCTCTTTAAAAACAAGAGAGACTTTAATGAAATCAGTAGAAGGTTTGTACAATAGGTATTGTATTAAACCAGAGCTCAGGCTTCACATTGATTGCGGTATTTAAATTTCAATGAGTTGATTATGTATGAGAGTAAAATGACCAGCATTATGAATGTACAAAAAAAGAGACATGGAAGAGCTGTGCCAGAAAAGTGAGAAAAACGTTCCCTTTATAGTCCCTAGAGTTCAATAAAGCACCACTATTTCCCAGCTTTTAAAAGCTCTTTTATCACAATGGTTCATACCTCGCATTCCCTGGAGCCTGATTTGTTATACGTGCAGGGTCCTGTTCCGTTCAGCAGCATCTCACTGGTTTCAGTGTTGGTAGGTTTGTAATCTACATAAAATTCCTGTGTGCTTGGAGTCATTTGCTTCAGTGACTGTCTTTTCTTTTTCCTGTGCCTTCGCATGAGCGAGCGCTGCTGCAGCTGCTTCATACTAGCAGGGTACCGCTTCCATGACACATAGATCACCAGCAGGATCACAAGCACAGACAGGAAAAGAGCCACACTGCCTGCTATGATTTTATGGAAGGAGATGTGTTCTGTGTCGTGCTCGGGCTCGGAGCTCGATTCAGTGGCTCCAATAGTCGGGGGCAGAGGGGGCTTGCTGTCGTGTTTAGGCCTGGTGAGTTTTGGTTTAAACGTTGGCTTTGGGAGAGCTCGGGCTAGTTCAAACCTTTCTGTGGTACTTTTGCCACAGATGCTGTAGTTTTTCACTGCATCAATAACATTCACCCCTTGCAGCTCTTTGGGGCTGGCACAAATAATCGTGTTTTCCCTCAGCCCTCTAAAACTTTTAAGCCAGTTTACCAGGGAACAAATGTTTCTGCTGCATTCCCATATGTTCCCGGCAAGGCTGATGTCATTGAGGGATATCCAAGAATCCAAAATTTCTTGACCAATAAATGTGAGCTTGTTTGAATCCAGGTTGAGGCGCTGTAAATTGGGCACACACTGAAAAACACTAGGTCCACTGAAAGCTTCTATTTCATTGCCAGATAAATCAAGTCTTTGTAATGAGCTCCAGGTCCAGGACATGGTTTGTCCTATCACACTGATTTTATTCCACTGTAAATAAAGATTCTGAAGGCTGACTAGCCTTGGAAAAAGTGCCAAGTTGAGCTTAGAAAATTGATTGTGCTCCAGGTGAAGCTCTTTCAGTCTGATCATACCTGCAAAGACATTCCTTGCTAAACTTCGAATGCGATTATAACCCAGGTCCAACAGTTCGAGGTTCCTACAATCTTGAAATATTCGAACAGGGATGGTTCTTAGGGAATTGGACCGCAAATGTAAACTCAGCAGCTTCCTTAAGCCCCTGAACTGTTCAGATCCCAGAGACTGCAGCTGATTGTATGACAGATCCAAATTCCGGAGATTTGTCACAGGTCTGAAGGTATTATTAAGAAAATAGGAGATTCTGTTGGAACTCAAGATCAACTCTTTTAGTCTGCGTATTCCACTGAAAGCATTTTCGTCAATATTGCTGATGTGGTTATGGTCTAAATAGAGCCAGGTGAGTTGATTAAGACCTTTAAATTGATTGTATTTTAGTTTTTGGAGGCTGTTATATCGAAGGGACAAACCTAAACAACCAGCAGATATACTTGAGGGAATCTCCTGCAATTTCTGAGATTCACAATAAACCATTTTGCCTTCACACCTACAGCCCTTAGGGCATCCTCGTTCAGCAGAAGAAAGCATTGTCAGTAATACAGTAGGGGCTATTACCAGAGCTACAGCTGATCCGCTCAGTAGCCTAATTACATTGAAACCTGGAAATAAAAACAACTTAGAAAAGTTATCCCCCCACACATCAGTCATTTCTTTCAATCATGCTAAAATCTTTTACTTCAACAATCATTTAAAAAGCCCTAGCCAGACTCAACTGATTTTCACATTGACTTTTCTTTTTTTATCAGCGTTTTTTTTTTTTTTTTTTTTTTTTTTTTTTTTTTTTAAGAATACCTTGATATAAATACTGAGAAACAGGTGGGTAAAAGGTGTAATACCTAAGCCATTTAAGTATAATAACAAATCACATCAAGGTAAGTCTATGGAGTAATTAAAGCACAGGCTATGCAGTAACTATGAACTATAAATTAAAAAGATAACATGAAAAACATACCCATCCTTTGTGTTGTTCAAAGGTCGTCCTTAGGTCTTTTGTTCTTTGCTTAGTGTGCCACAAGCATGGCAGCCCCTGTCAGCTGCACTGGAGTGAGTCAGGGCTCGCTGACACCCAGGAAGAAAAATTGGACCCCTTGGGAGAAGGACCGATTTTGAAACATTATTCTTTGCCAGCCGTGCAGAACACTCCAAGAATAAATCAATCCCAACGCAGCATTCGCAGCAAAATGTCAAATTCTTCTTAGGTGATAGGATCTTCATGGATATTACGTTTTTGCATCTTTATAGTTAGGAACCTGGCTTTTAAAATGTTGCTTTATAGGAAAGCATGCTAGATTCCTTCTCCGAGCACCTTTTAGCTATCTGAATTCACACATCTGTATTCCATAGCCCAGTAGTTTCCTCCCTGAGCTCCCGATCCGGCTGGGCAGCTGCTCTGGAAGCGCAGGAGGTGGGATGAGCTTGCGCCAGGATCCCGCTCCGTGCAGTCCCGCTCTCTCCTGCCGAGAGCTCCGTCCGACTGTCGCCGGGCTGGCGGCGGGCGCTGCCTTATGTAAAACTGCCCCCAGCGGCAGGAATACCGCGGGCATGTGCAGACCCTGCCTTTCCCTTGCAAATGAGCGAGCACTCCCGGGAAAGCAGGGATTGCTCCGAGTCACTGCGACCGGCGGAATGGTCAGCTGCGGTCTAAACATCGAGGTGTGTCGGAATAGCCGAATCCGCTCAGACTCTCTGGCTGTCTGTGAAAACTGCTCTGCATCCTTGAACTTAGCAGCAGTGAGCTGCTGAGACTTCGGTCTGAAGGGCTGATATGGCATTTGTAGGACATGGATGCAAATTTTGGTCCTAAGGATTTTTTTTTTCCTGCTGCATTAGATATGTGTTCACATAACCTTTTTGCAGTCACTCACTATTTTTTAGTGAAGTATCAGCCCCATCTGTGTGTCTCTTATCAAGTGTTTTGGCATGGACACTATATTTTACAACATGAAAAATGTTTTGGAGCTGACATTTTGCCTTTTTGCTTTTTCTTCTCTGTTAAAAGGCACGCTGCCAGGAGGTTAGAAGAGAGTACTGTGCTCATTCATTTCCCAACTTATAGTCAGTTTGTTCCACAACACTAACACTCCAACCACAGGCTTCCCTAATCCTTACAATATAATAACTAAGCAGCTTGGTGTAGTACCTTAATGAGGTGAATTGTTCTTACTGTAATTTGGGACAGGGACAGGATTTTAGGTGGAGGAAAAATATGCTGAGTTTTTTTAGATGTGTGATGCTGGACAGTCCTCATATATCACATAAATAACTGCATTGTCTTTCCTGAGCCTTCCATTCTTTCTTGCATGCTGTAGGGAAAGAACATATCCTCTTATCTGGGCAGAGCAAAGGTAAGATGGTGGTACAGTAAACGCACCATGCTGGCAGTCTTCCTTCACCAAGAAATACGCGATCAAAGATAATAGTGGGGAAGTGGAAAATCATGGCTCTTTGTTGTGCAAGAATGGGCTGGAGCCTGTGGAGAAGTGTGCTGCTCCTTAAGGGAGGAGTACAGTGTGCAGTCCTCAGATGCACCCAGACAGTGTTGAGAACCACTTTTCCTTTCTGAGGCAGAATGCTTACCCCTTGGAATAATGTGCTTTGACTTTTCTCTTATTAGTCACTGCTGTGGGCATAGAATAACTTAAAATGAGGTGAAACCCCAAAATTTCCAGGTATTGAAATGCCAGCTGTGCTTAGTACTTAGTCTGTGCATGACTGCAGGTTTATAGTAATCCTATTAGTGTTAGGGCTTCAAACTGAATTGCCTAAATTAGGAGCATGGTCACTCCTAACTAGCATCTGTGAGCACCTTTCACGTCAGAAATACATTCCCGCATCAGGACAAATTCTGTGGAAATTCTTTCCTTTGGGTCTGATTTGTGGTGTGGGAAAGGGTTAATTCCTCCACTGATCTCTGTCAGTGTCACCATCTCCCATTCTCTGCTGCAGCTTGTTCTGGCTCTTCAGTCTGATCTGTAGGGTCGAGGAGCCAGCGACAAATTGAAGGCTGCCCTGGGAGCTATGTTAGTCTGAGGAGCTGTTCTGCTGACAGCAGTGTCACGTGCCAGCCCTGGTGTGCTGGTGTAGGCTTTCCATCACTGCCTTGGTGTCTCTCTATGCTTGATGGAGCAGGAAGGAGACAGTTCAGACCTTTGGTAAGTCAATTTGCCTCTTGTAACTGCTGCTCTTACTCTATTGACAACAGATACCTGTAAGAGGTAAACTCTTTATTGAAATGACTCTTTTAGGTTCATAAACTTAGATGGCATGAAGTTAGGTCTGAATCTTCACCTGGTTCATACTCAGCATTTAAAGCTTCAGATAGCATTCAAATACTTTCTCCTGAAGAATTGGTGCTACTTAATACACCAGCTTGCACTCAACCTTCTTCCCAAACTTTGCCTATTCTGGTTTTTTTCTACTTCTCACCTGCATATTGGTTGTGGAGTTAACAAGTACCTTCTTGGCCACCATGAGTCAGCAGAGCTTCAGCAGCTTTCCCAGGGTTTTAATAATTGCCAATATACTAATAAGAGGGAACAGCAACTCTTTTACCAAGAGTTATTTTCATTTTCTGAAAGGGGTGAGACATCAAGAGATGAACAGAGAGAGACCATCAAATCTATGTTAATGGATTGCCAAATTCAATTTTCTTTACTGAGATCCTTTTTGAATTACATAAGAAGGAAAAGTGCCAGTGTCTGATAAACAGTTTTTTTAAATTACATTTCTGTATCTTCATACAGCAGAATGGGTTCTCTTCCAGTTGGGGAAATATAGCTTCTCCCAGTCTGAAACATTTCATATAAAATTTCAGACCAGTCTGGCCGTATTATAAACAATGAAGTGTGTTAAAGCTGCATTTTAGAAAAGAGGATACCTTTTCCTTTTATCAACTACACCTTGTATATCAGTTCAGCTCTGTTGCATCACCCATTGACTCATGTAACCAGGAGAAAAGAACTTGAAGCCCAACTGGTTAGCTTCTCTTAAGGATTAGCTGGTTTCCATTAGAACTAATACCATAACTTCTGAGTGCCCAAAATCCAGGAGTTTGTTAACACCTTGGTAAGAGTTTAAGTCCAGTCAGGGAAAGGAGAGAAAAGGTACAAGTGACAGAAGTCTCAATAACCTCGTGCAGATTGAAAAGTAGTGCTCAGAAACAGTGTTATCCTTTCTCTTCTGCCCATGAAAATGATGTTTTAGCCAATTCTGCAAAGCAGAAACTTTTAAGAAAATTATTTCCTTTATTTCTGTACTCGTGAACACAGTCTGTGTTTTGGAATTTCACCTTTAGCCATAGATTGAGATACCACAGAACCTGAAATGCTTTTTGAGCAGTTTTGAGTTTTGTGATGCTGTGATCATTCCAGTCTGGTTTTTTTTTGGGGGGGAAGAGTGGCTTACATCAGAAAATATATTGGCAAATGTATTGCTAGATATGCTTTAACATTCATCCAGATGAAAAGAGATGTGTTGGGCAGAGCCTGTGATGAACATTTAGTTTTCATCATCATCGTGATGGAAAAATTCAAACTTGTTTGGAAATGATGCACTATCCCAGGGTCCAGATTTTTCTCTTGGTACTGAACTTTCAATAGGTTTTCTGTGTAGAAATTGTTCTAGATGGATTTCCCTGCTATCTGATTTCACAGTAATTTGCTTCAATTTAATTTCATGTTTGATTTTGTTTTTTCTTATCTAGTTAAATTTTAACATATTTTCTTTTTCCATTCATCCTGGTTCTCTGTACCTAGCTGCAACTTCCCTATGGAAAGCTTAATGTGAACTGCAGCCAAAATAGTAAATGGTGAATCAAAAGGTGACATTGACTGTGAAAGCCTGTTCCTCTTCAGGGCTAGTTTGGAATTGAAACATTTTTGCAGAGAAAAGGGGAAACAGCAAATCTTGCATTTTTCAGGGTTGTGAGAAGGCACCTGTGATGGCCAGGGACATCTATTTGCTAAGTGTTGAAAAGAGGGACAACAGAACTATCAGCTTCCTTAGAACGGGGGTGAGTGGGGCAGAGAAGGGGTGTAAACTTCCCAAAGTGTAAGAAACCAGGTGCTAGTAGTTTCCAAATCAATCAGAAGCCTTTCTCTGTTCTGTCACATGGTTCACATTAGGCTTCCTCAGGACAGGGGAAAGAGGAAGTAATCTGAAAAAAATCCATTATTCCTAAAAGAAACCCTTTCAGGAAAGCTGTAAGAACTTTTCTAAACACAGTGCATTATGTTTGTAATGCACAGACTTGGTAATTTAGACCAGGACAGAATAGAGCATTTTTCTGCTCACAGGCAGAGGGGTCTGGGAGTGCCTTTTTGTGTGAATCACACATCCCTCTGGGGAACTGTAGTTAGCAAGTGCCTCACTGTGTACTTTTGGGGTTTATGAAGTGACAACGTGTGTCTTTCCCTTGACTTTATTTCACTGTAAAGAAACCAGGAATCAGCTGGGTTAGCAGAAGTAGCTTGTTCTCAATGGTACTGTGGTGTGCTATCACTGTATCGTTAAGAGAGATAAGTCTAATAAAATATGTTTGCAATTTTGAGCCAGTGATTAAATGAACCTGCTGTTCCATGAGGATCAGATTAGAGCTGGGGTGTATAACTCCCATTGTAAATATCAGAGCGTGGGAAGACAGAGACAGACTCAGGATGCAGGATTTGCCAAAGGCAGGCAGAAGGAAAGGGAAGTGTGGGAAAGCCAGGTTCAAGGAACATGTGGGTAAGGGAAATTAAGGCAACAGAAAATGCTCTGAAGAAGCAGGGAAAGAGCATTAAGAGGAGAGAGGATCTTGTTCCAGCAGCTGGTCAGTACTGTCCTAGTGGACCATGGTGGTAAGAGGTAGGGGAGCGGTGGGTAAATGAAAGTATCCCCTTAGTCTTCTGCTGGAAATAATTAGCTTTGCAAGGCCTCCCCTCGCCTTCGTGAGGGTGAAAGGATCCTGGTGTTGCACATTCTGTGATAAGCTGAAGGAGAACAGGAGCCGTGCCCCCTTTCTAGGAGTCAGTGCCCTCTGTACTGTTGGGTTGCTGGCAGAGGACACCAAGGACACGTCTGTCAGAGTGGGTCCCCGGAGGATCTCAGTGCCGTGGTCACAGGGCCATGCAGGCTATTGCTTCCCTCACACACAGTTACACACTGCTTGGTAACAAAGCCTTTCCAGCTGGACAGTTTGCTTTAAATCTGAGCATTGGGCATAGGTCACAGGGGCCTCTACCGGGGGAGGTAATGCTGCATACAAACCTTTCTTTGTGACATCCAGTGGACAGATCTTCCTAGACCCTGTCGTCCCATATCCTTAATGAGGCATTGGACACTCTGCTGTTCCCCAGTTGACTTTTTGCCCTGTGATTTTGAAGCTGTGTGAGGGCAAGCAGCCTGTGGTTCAATCTCATTCTCCAAAGACATGACATGAGATGCAAAGCTATCATTTTACTTGCTCTCTGCAATTGATGCCAGTGC